TCAACGAAAAATCGATAGATCATTGATCCTTAATATCTAGGCAGTTTTGAAAAATCGATGTCGCGAAGTATTGAAATACAAATGAAAAAAATTAAAGAAAATAAAAAACAAAAGAAAAAGAGAAAGAAAAAAATATCGACGAAAGAATAAGTTAAAGGGCAAGAAATTATTCGAGAAACTCGTAACGGTAAAAGTGTTGGTGTAACCTACTCGATGATACTACTTAAGGAGTCACGGTCTACAAGGGCAATAGCTCGATCCCTGGTGACTCGGCAAGTTCCGATGACTCGGAAGAAACCAGTTTCTTCCGCACCATCGACGCCAGCCCGGCGTTCCCGTTTATTCGGTGGCGCGAAGGGAAAGAAATGGAAGGGAAGGGAAGGGAAGAAAGGGAATGGAAGAGAAGGAAGGAAAGGAAGCCTTCCTCTTCGATGGCAAAGGTGCTCGTACGAAAAATTCGTTTCGAAATGAACCTTCGACTATCTTGGACCGTTTCTTGAGAACATAATGAGTAAGATAGAGAAAGATAGAGAAAGACAAAGAAAGACAGAGAAAGAGAGAAATAGAGAGAGATAGAGAAAGACAGAGAGAGAGAGAGAGAGAGAGAGAGAGAGAGAGAGAGAGAGACAGAGAAAGACAGCAAGAGATAGAGAAAGACAAAGGAATACAGAGAAAGATGGAGAAAGATAGAAAAAGAGAATTTTTTTTCTAACGAAAAGACAAAAGAAAAACTTTATTGTTAATCATCGCCATTATTGTAATAAGAAATGAGATATTTCTTCGTTTTGTTCTGCGTTATCATCGCAAATAAACGTTATCGTTTGTTTCGTTATTTTCACGTCTTTAAAAGTTAATACCTATATTATATTTCATATCTCCCTCGACGATTTATCGTCGTCTCGATAAAGATGGCAGTAGTAAATTAAACATTACGTAATACTAGGTATTATCTTCTCAGCCCGTGGCCAGAATGAAAATAAAAGAGGGCCACTCTAGACATTTTCTACGGACGAATGGGTGAGTAATGTGCGAAAGGGAAGGTATGAGCAACGTCGTTGTTTGCTAGTAAAAGTGAGAAAGAGAGAGAGAGAGAGAGAGAGAGAGAGATAGACAGATAGAGATAGAAGGGGTGGTACAAATCGTCCGTAAAATCCAAGATTTAACCCCATCCCTAGTTCGAGGCGACGAAATGAAGCCCTTCTATCCGTTGATATGATAAACACCCGAAATGACAGTGCCATCCTCCTACTCTCATCCTCCAATGGCATCCCTCTTCCCGTTTGGGATCACCTTCGTTCTTCTGGCTCCCCGACTCTCTCTCTCTCTCTCTCTCTCTCTCTCTTTTCGAGTTAATCACGTCAGACAGGCAGACCCTCTGATTAAAACGTTCCTCCGTCCCTTCTACTTCTTCTTCATTATTATTATTATTACTACTACTACTACTACTACTACTACTACTACTACCAATACTACTACTACTATTACTACTACTACTATTACTATTACTACTATTATTATTATTAGAATTATTATTATTATTGTTATTATTATTATTATTATTATTACTATTATTATTACTATTATTATTATTATTATTATTATTATTATTATTATTATTATTATTATTATTATTAGAGAGGAAGAATGCAGGGGTGTTAAGAGCAGTTAGAATGATTTAACTGCATATACGTAGGTATCTACGTTGTTCTATTATATCTATATATATATCTTTATCTATATATAGATATATGAATATATATATATATATATAATTCTATTTATGTCTCATAATGTTACGGACACTATGAACGTCGTTAATACTTAAGATTATTAAATGCTTAATGAGGCCAGAAATGAATCGAATTTCAACTTCCTTCTTCCTTGATTAACTTTGGCCTACTTCTTTCTTCTTCCTTCCTTCCTTCCTTCCATCCATCTTTCTTTTTCTTTCTTGTTTTCTGTCTATTCTTTCTTTTCTTTTCTTTTTATATTTCTCTTGAAAGAGCGATGATATCTCGTCACACTTGTTGTTGGATGACTGACATTGAAGGATCGTCTAAAAGACGCAAATGTAGTCGAGCGCACGGGCAATCTTACTTTAGCGAGATAGCTAATACCATTCGTAGTCTATCTTCTAACGGTAACACATTTTTATTTACTCGTACGACGTATCATCGTTTAACGAAAGATAAATAATTCTCTTGGACGTGCATATATTAATTTTGATTGAATTAGATATTCGTCGACACGAGACCGTGGTTAATCCATCGTGATCGTGGTTAATAGAAACATTTTTATTGTTAGAGAAAATCTACTTTATATAATACGATATGTAAAAATCTTAATTGGAAAGAATAAAATGTCCTCATTAAAAATTTTATCTTCCTTTATTATTAATTTTTTTATTATTTCTTATTTCTGTAATTCTAAGATCAACGTAATGCCTATAGAAAAGGTACATGGTTCGTTCAATGGACCTATATATCGATCTCTTTCTCTCTCTCTCTCTCTATTTCTGTCTCCTTTCTTTCTTTTTCTTTCTCTTTCTCTCTTCTTCTTCTTCTTCTTCTTCTTCATCGAACGGACGATCTGGTTACACCGGGTAATCTATCCTTCGAACGGCCGGTCATGCTAATAAAGCCGGCAGGTATAATGTGGAACGATCGTAAATCTCGTCGGTTCAAGGTACAACCTCGGTCGCACAAGTGCAACGCGTCGGTAGCGTAACGAGGACGTGTAAGTTTCAAGACGCGTATTGGACGTCTAAGGAAACCCGTTACACCGGATACTTCACCTCGAGAAACTATCCGTAAGATCATCTCCGTTGTTTCGATCTTTAAACATATCTTACTTATGTCGATGATGTTATTTAAAATAATTAACAAAATTCTTTTTCATTATCTTGTCTGATACTTTCTATGTATCGTTAATTCATTTTCGAAAAGATTTTATTTTATCATATACCATTTCATTTTTCTTTACACTTGTCTTTTTCTATTTGTTAATAATATGTCTGTTTATTTTCTATATATCTTAATTTTTTGATATTATTTTTTTATAGACTTTAGTCCGTTAGTTTTTTTCTTTCATTTTTCTTCTTTTTTCTATCTAGATTTTTTAATATTTCTATTGTTTTCTATCGGTCTATCAGTCCATCCGTCCTTTTTCCCCTATATATTTTAATTTTTCTATTATTTTCTATCGATTTTATACCCTTCCTCCCGTACCACACCTTATCTCCCCACCGTTTTTCCTTTATTTTCATTAATATTTCTGTCACTTTCCATCGGCTTTAGTTTGTCTTTCTTATTTCCATTTATTTTAATCTTTCTGTCCTTATCCTATCTTGTTTTTTCATATCTGTTTGTCTCCGTCAGTTCGTCTGTCTCGATCACACACTCACTTTATATTCACTTTTAACATTACGAAATGGTTGGTTGGTAGGTTCCTATCTACTTACCTACCTGCCTACCTGTCCGATGATTGCTGCCTTGCACGGGTTAATAGCACTCGCGAACATAACGAAGGGTTATGTGGATCGTGAGTTTGTTATTGGCTTGCTTAATGATCCGTCCAGCACATTCTACCTGTCCGAGTCCGGATACGTGCTACTGCATCCTCGCGAATAGTGACTACGAAACCAGAGAGAGAGAGAGAAAGAGAGAGAGAGAGAGAGAGAGAGAGGGTGGGGGGATGAGAGAACGCTCCAGGGACGAAACGAAAAATGCGTGATACGAATTTCCCCTGTAAAAAATGAAATATGTAAACGTGTTATAATAGTATGCCAATAACGTGACACATGGCACACGTATTTAATGATACCAATAACATCAACGAAACAAAATTCAAAATCGTGAAGCACGAAAATTTCGTGTACGATAAATACGAAACCAAAATTTTAAAATCGTCGATGGATTTTTCAATTGGATCGAATCGAAAAAAAATAAAAAATAAAAAAATAGTATGAATAAATTTTATTTCATTCCTTTTTTCATTTTTTTTTTTTTACAATAAAATTATCTCCGAAATTATTCATGAAAAAAGAAAAAAAGGGAAAAGAGAAAAATATTTTTTAATTATGCAATAACGATCGAGAGAAAAAAACGTGTCTCATGATCGAACTCTAAGATTCGACATTTTGATTCCAACGACGGAAAGAGATAAATTAGAAAGATAAGATAGTCTCTAACGAATCTCAAAATGGAGTCGTATCATTAGACAAAGAAAAAGAAAAAAAATGCACAGAGAAAGAGAGAAAGAGAAAGAGAGAGAGAGAGAGAGAGAGAGAGAGAGAGAGAGAGAAAGAGACGAAGAAGGGACCTACTTACGTTTCTAATGAGTCTCGTTCTCGCGCTCTTACGATTATAATAAAGGCACGAGCGATATTACATTGATTCGGTTCGTTACATCTAATTGACATAGTCAATGTAGTCTTTACTGTACGCATTTTTACAAATCAATAGAAAGAGAGAGAGAGAGAGAGAGAAAGAGAAAGTTTGCGACGAACAACAAACGTATATTATCTGTCTATATAGTTATATGTACCTAAACATCTAGCTACACAACATACGAACGATACGAACGAAAGTAGATGGTGGATAACAAGGAAACTAACTAACGAACGAATGAACGAATGAAAGTACATTAGGCGTTTCACTTACTTACATTAATCGAGATGACTATGCTTCATTAACATAACTTTCATATGTCAATACTGAACTTCATAAGTAAAATTCGTTGGGCAATCGAAACTGTATCGCGCAATGTATAATGGTGTGGGAGTTAATAGTAATAAATCGTGCTAAGAGAGAAAGAAAGAAATGAAGAAGAAGAAGAAAAAGAAGAAGAAAAGAGATGCTATAGTATATATCAGAAGTATATATATATATATGTATATATGTATATATATATATGTATATATATATGTGTGTGTATACCTATATATCATTATTCGTTCTCGTCTAACGCACCGTATAATCATGGCATTTATATTCACTCACCATTGATATTAACCGAGGATTGATCCACGCCTGCTGCATGTTATCGTCGAGATACCGCTTTGCTATTCGTGCGATGTTTTCATGGGACTCCTTTTTTTGTGCTTGTGCTGCTTGTACTAAAACAGGCGGGCCTACGTCGACGTTCGCATTGTTTCTAAAACAGAAAATGCGTTACGTGTGAAGCAACATATCCTGAACATATTACAAGTATATATGCATATGTATATATATATTTATATATATATATATACATATTATATATATATATATATATATATATATATAATATGATATATGTATATACGCTTAAAGATTTCCAAAGGTAGGCGTGATGCATCGAGGAATCGTGATTACTCGTTATGCTGCATAAATCGATTTGTGAAATTGCTCGAGGAGAGAAAAGACTTACGTGCGAACGTTCGAAAAAGGAAAATCTTACTTACGTATACCTATAGATATAATACATGTTGTACATAGATATATGAGGATGCATGGAAGAGAGAGAGCATGAATTCTCAACATGGATCGCTTTTAAACATCCTTTTCGAATTACTTCGCCATAAAGAGAATTTAATTGCGTCAGCTGACGTCCTCCTTTCTGTAATAAATAATGATCATCGGCTTACTTTGTAGTCGGCGATACGGTCGTGTATGACGATTGGGAGAATCCTTTTCGAGAAGTAATATCTTTCAATGTGATTGAAATAAAAAAAATAAATAAATAAAAATACAGAAAGAAAAAAAGAAAAAAATCGTCTCTTAAAAATTAATATCAATGACGGTGAAATTCGTCAGATTATTTTAAAATGATTCCTCAAAGTAAAATCATTTATTGGATCAGTATTTTTTAATATATTTAATCTGTATTTATAATAACATATCAGTACATAATACAAGTTATTGATATTAGATCGATTAATACAAAAACTGTCAGTTATTTTAATGGAAAATATTTGCAAATATAACAAATTTTTCAATATTTTAAAAATCGATTATCAGTATTTATAATAATTCGAGAGAAACAAGCAACAATTATTTATACCGATCATTTATATTAGTATTGATATATTATTATAAATATCATAAATATTTACCGATATATATATATATATATTTTAATTATATTTTATGAAATATTTAATATTGATGAATAAAAATATTGATTGAATAAATATTTATTTTCTATATAAAATTTTTAAGACGATTGGACCTTCGATCTATAATCCGGCTTGGATCTCGATAAGATCATCCTTTCCTCGAGCGAAATTTCTCTCTCTCTCTCTCTCTCTCTCTCTCTCTCTCTCTCTATTGCTAACTCAAAGATGAATTATTAACAGGAAAAGGACGTCTGCGCATGTGAAGCAGTAGAATCATTATGGAACAAGAGAACACGAAATTAACGATCCCCTGTACATCGACTCATGCGTCAAACTGAATCCATTGTGTAACGGCAATACCATCAGCATCGTCAGTCAACGAGCATCATCATCGTTGGTCCAGTCATCTACGTCGCCTGACCGCGCAGAACCAGAAGAGAATCATTACGAATAGAACGATCACGGTATCCTATATCTCGATTGGATAGCCACGAAAGGGAGTACAAAAGGTAAATTGGTACGGACAATATGTTCGTATAATTGAAACAATTTCATAAAGCTTATTACGTTCTATTTACATAATTCTAAGAAGTTCAGTATATTTTATATTTTTATGAATGTATCCATTAAAGTTCATTATTTGCTAATTACGATTAATGTTTAATATAATTTTGAATAAGGATAGAAATGTATAAAGAAAAAAATATATTAATTAATCGATAAACATAATGAAATATCTATAAGTATTATTTCGAAGGTATAATATATTGAAAAATAATAGATATTAATAAATAAGTAAGATAATATAATAAATAAAACAAGCTATAGATGAGTGAACATTGAAGATACTTCAAGCGTATGAAAAATATGAGGAGATTGAAAAATATTTTTCGTCTGTATACTTTATCTGTTGTTTTTCTTTTTCTTTTAAGAGAACACGTTGAAAAAAAATAATAAATAAAATGATTAAATATATTAAATTCGATTGATTTTAATTGGATACGTTTAAATCTACTTTTCATAGATAAACAAGAAAATTGAATAATAAAACAAAATAGAAAAAGTTTAAGAAAAATAATAATCACAAAATGAAAATAATTTAATTTTGCTATGTGTAACCGTATGTAATCTATTTGCGAATAACCAGAGACAGCCCGATCGTAATTCGTATTTACTACAATATCGTGTAAGAGAGAGGTAAGTGAATTACGAGTTTAACCTAACTCGTCCCGTACACGCCGCGTCGCGTCCCGCGGAACAGCTGTTGGTTTAGGCCTCCTTAGTTAAATTATGGCCAGGGACCTTCGAAACCGGCGATATAATTGGCTGTCTACGTATTGATGCCTTTCGAACAAGTTTCATTCATTGAACTTGTTTTATAATTTGACGAACATTCGATATATCGAAATAATGATAAAATCGGTTATTACATCAGTTATATACATTATTACATGGTAAAGATATGTCTAAAGATATTTTTAGGAATATTTAAAAAAGAAAAAATAATTAATTTGATTTTATTTAAAGAATACAAAAACCATCTTTTCGAATTTTCTGTTCGAATAAAAATTTCATTCGTAAAGCAATGGAAACAAGCTTACCAATAATTCAATATACTGTCTATAATTCGTTGAATTTTTTATACACGCGAATCCTTGTGAAATCATTATTATACGTTGTAAAAAAATTAAATAGAGTATTTAAAAGAAAAATTACAAAAAGCAAAAATTTCAATTTGATTTCAATGGAAGAACAAGAGATTATCTTTTCTTATATATGCTAATAGGATAAAACTTCGTTCATAATACAATAAACAAGATGTTGTACAACGTACATAATAATTCGTTGAGTTTATTATAAGTCTTCGAACTTTCGATATATGCGAATATATATAAAATCGTTATTACATGATAAATATATCAAATAAAATATTGAAAAACAAATTACAAGAAACAAAAATTCAATTTGTTTTTAATGGAAGAATACGAGATTATCTTTTCTCATATATGCTGATGGGAATAGACTTCGTTCATAAAGCAATAAACAAGGTGCAAATAACTCGTTGAGTTTATTACAATTCGTCGAACTTTCGATATATGTGAATACTTGTAAAATCATTATTTCATGGTAAATATATCAAATAAAATACTTTAAAAAAATTACAAGAAACAAAAATTCAATTTGAATTTAATGGAAGAACACGAGATTATCCTTTCTCATATATGTTGATGGGAAATAGATTTTGTTCATGAAGTAATAATCAAATTACATTGCTCGCTATGATTGCCAACGTACACAGATACATACATACATACATACATATATATAATACATACATTTATATATATATATATATATATATATATATATATATATATATACATATAGTATCAGTCAGTGCATTGAACTTAGAGATTCTCCCTATATTCATAGTGATCGAAGGGAAAGAGAGAAACGCATTGGAACAGGACTATTTGAATTCACGTCGTAATACATCGCAACCATCTATTCTTTACCTCTCTGAATATAACAGGTTCTCCTTTCGATACAATATGACCTTTATCGTAGGAGACTGCATTCAAGAAGCCTTCTCTCTCTTTCTCTCTCTCTCTCTCTCTTTCTCTTTCTCTCTTTCTCTTTCTCTTTGAACTAGAATTATTTATGATAGCCGAGTAGTTCGCGTGAAACGGAAACTTCCTCTTGAGATTTCAAAAGCCATGAAAACACATATATTGAAAACTTTACAGAAATTTTATATTTTATTTCATTTCTTTTTCTGATATCCATCAAATTATAAATATAATCGTTGAGGGGAGGGAGTGTGGGGAGAGTAATCAAAATAAATTTCTCTATATATTTTTTCTATAAAAGAGAGAAAAAGAGATAAACAAAAAAATGAAAAAAAAAAGATTATCTGTATATCACAAAGATAATAATAATCTATATACGTGTATTTCCGTTTCGAAATGGTCAAGTATGTTAATACATTACAATCGTTACATTTTCTTTTTTTTTCTTTTTCTTTTTCTTTTTCTTTTTTTCTTTTTCTTCACATTTTACATTCTTTTGAACGAACGAATATCAACTGACTCGTATATGCCGGAGTATGTAATAACGTCGGTCGTAGCAAACCAGGAGATGAGTGTCAGTGAACATGGAATGTATCGTGCTTTTACCAAGTACTTCGTGTGGCTTACCAAGATATAGTGTGGGTGGTAATAATACTGGAAGAAAGAGTAGTCATCTACAAGCTGAGTGGACAGGCACACCGTAAGTGTAAATAAAAAAGAAGGAAGAGTAAGAAAGAAAAGTGGTTGGACGAAAAGGGAAGAAAGAAAGATAAAGAAAAGATGAAGGGTGAGAGAGAGAGAGAGAGAGAGAGAGAAAGAAAGAGAAAAGAAGATGAAGAAGAAGGAAGAGGGAAAAAGGGAGAGAAAGAAAAATGAAGAAGAAAGAGAGAAAGAGAAAGAAGAATGAAGAAGAAGAGAGAAAGAGAAAGAAGGATGAAGAAGAAGAGAGAAAGAGAAAGAAGGATGAAGAAGAAGAGAGAAAGAGAAAGAAGGATGAAGAAGAAGAGAGAAAGAGAAAGAATGATGAAGAAGAAGTAGAAGAGAGAGAGAGAGTATCAAACAGTCAAGATTGAGGAACATGATTCAAAGATAATCTTCATAGCAACGAGAATACATACTCTCTCTTTTTTTGCTTTTCCTCTCTTAAGATTTACAGAACTTGGAAAGTTGGATAAATCGACCAAGGAAATCCAACTGTCTGAATAAATTCCGAATCATGTTAGATCTCGAAATCGTTTTTTCATATTCAACGATATAAAATATAATACTCCGACAAGATTCTCGTATTTCTGTCATTTAAATAACATTCAATTAAAAAAAGTAGAATTATTCGTTTTCTTTAATAGAATAGTTTTAGATAATTTTTTTTTTTCATTTTGTTAACAATTTATATCGGTGAAATTAAAGAGTATTTTTGGAGAAAAAATTATTACAATTCGTTCAGAAACAATTGATTTGAGAATTTTTTTCGTAATTTCCATAATGAA